CAGGAGTACTTGTGGCACCTTAGAGACTAACAAATTTATTAGTCTCTAAGGTGCCACAAGTACTCCTGTTCTTCTTTTAACCACTAATAGTTCATCTTGTTGACGCTTTCACTGTAAACTTTTCTTACTTGTCTGAGCTTCCTAAAATGTTCGGTACATACTTTTTTTCATAAACCTTCAAAACATAATTTTATTATACCTGCTGTGAAATCTTTTACTGAGATAGTTCTTTTCAGCATGAAAGAAAGATAGGTAATACTTTCTATACAGGTCTAACTTTGCTGTTAGAATTAGTCCATACAAATGTCACTTCTAAATCCTCTGCCCAACCTCCATTTTTAGTCACCCCACTAAACTTTGGGCTGGTCTACACACAGGTTCCATACCCAAAGAAACACCAATATAGTTACAATGGCATGTGTCAGTTTGGATCCCACTGTAGATGCACATGTGCCTCATGTCTGCAAGACTGGATTTTTTTTGACTGGCAGTGTCCATAGTTGTACATGTGCCCTGTGCTGCCTCATGCTGCTATATTAGGGCTTAAAAGGTGGCATGGCCTCTGCCCTCCCTTGGTTCCCTTTTACCACCAGTGGCAGTAAGACTTACCCTAGCTGATGTCTGCGCTGGTAGACCTTAGATCAGGGGCAGGCAAACTTTTTGGTCTGAGGGCCGCATCGGGTTTCGTAAATTGTATGGAGGACCGGTTAGGGGAGGGGGTCGTGGCCCACTCCCCACCTCCTATCTGCTTCTGTTCATGGCTCTCGACTTGCAGGATCCTTCCACATCTCTATCCATCTGGCCCACTAGAAATACCTAAGGGTCACAGTGGGTTTCAACCATTATCAGTACAGGTTTCTGCCATTTGGTCTCTCCATAGCATCAAGAGTGTTCACCAAGTGCCTGGCTGTAGAGATGGCACATCTAAGAAACCAGGAATCCCCATCTAGGCAACTGGCTGATAAGAGGAAGGTCCCAGGAAAAGATTGAAACAGCCCTAGATCATGTTCTTTCCCAGTTTTCCCACTTGGGATTCCTGGTGAACTACAAGAAATTGTCCTTCACAGTTGGTAGAGTTAATAGGAGCTCTAATCAACTCCAGATCAGCAAAGGTATCTGCTGGAGGACAGGTTCTGGTCCCTTTAGTCAATTAGTGCATGACGTGTAGTCAAATTGACAATAGCGCATACATGCCCTGAGCTTTTAGGCCATATTTTTGTATGCGCATATGTGACATCACTTGCCAAACTTAATCTGTGGACTCCACAACACTGTTTGAGGACCACCTACTCCTATCCAAGCATCATATGAGCATTTGAGTTATAGTTTAGCCTCATGTCCTACAGGATCTCAGGCGGTGGCTTAGATCCACTGAACATGAGAGAATACTCTTTTAAGTTTCTCCCCAGTGATTATGCTAGTTACAGATGTCGGGAACAGATTGGGGCACCCAATTGAACCACCTTCAGATGAAGATTCATGGTGTCAGAATCATCTGAAGCTCTACATGAATTCATTGGAACTAAGGGCTGTCAGGCTAGCCTCCGTAGCTTTCCTGCCTGTTCTTCAAACTCTGTGGTGCAGATAGATGGCACATTGGCAGAGCACTATATATAGTGGCAGTTCACTATATAAACAAACAAGGATGCCCTCAATCATCCCATCTCTTTTTGAAAGCCATGAAGTTCTGGGAATGGCATCATCAGCATGCGGCAATCTTGGTAGCTCTAAATCTTCCGGGAGTCAGCAATGACCTGGCACACTTTGAGCTGGAACTTAACTAGTCTTGAGTGGTCACTGCAGAAATCCATTCTTGACCTGATATTCCACCAGTGTGAGACCCTCTACTGTAGATCTTTGCCACTGTGGACAGTTTCATATATAGGGACTTCTGTTTCAGAGGGGATGTGAACCCAGCATCCCTTCTAGAAGCCTTTCTTCATTTGGTCTCAAGAACTCCTATGTTTTATCACTGGTCCTTCCCCCCTCTCTCCCCCGATCCACAGGATAATATGCAAGATACGATGGGACAAGTCTACAGTTATGGTAGCCCCTACTGGCTGAAGCAGCTTTAGCTGTTGGATCTCGTGCATATGTCCAGCCAGCCTCCCAGTATGCCTTCCCATGTGTCCAGACATACTGTCTCAGAACCAGGGTCAAATACTTCACCCAGATCCACAGTCATTACACCTAACTGCCTGGATGTTGATTGGATGAGTAAGACTGACAAACTACTCCTTATAGGTTCAGGAGATTGTTTTACAAAGCCAAAAGACCTCCAACAAGAGGACTAATTCCTCAAAGTTGAAAAGATTTTTTTTTTCCCCATGGGGGCAGCCCAAAATTCAATACAGGTCCTGATACCAAAGATTCTGGTCATAGTGCTCCTAAAACAGGCAGGATTGGCATTTAGCTCTAGTCTACCTAGCTGCAGCATCAGTGTGATATGCTCGGATAGTCATTTTCAGTCTTCTCTGACTCTACAGTGTCAAGGTTTCTCAAGGGCCTTCTTCATCCCTGCCCTCCAATTAGAGACCCAACTCCCACATGAGACCTTCACATTGTCTTCCTGCAACTTATGGAATCTCCATTCAGACTTCTATCACAGTGATCATTATACCACCTCACCATAAAGACTTTCTCTCATGGCCATCACATCAGCATGGAAAGTCAATGAACTCCAAGCACATATGACCAAAACATCCTTCGACAGGGACACAATGGTGGTGAAATTGCACCTTAAGTTCCTCCCTAAAGTGGTCTCAGTATTCCACCTGAACCAGTCTATGATCTTATTGCTCTTCTTCCTGAAATTGCATTCTTTGCAGGAGAAAAGAAGCTTCATACTTCGGATGTTTTCAGGGCCTGCTTTGTTATCTCAACAGGACACAGCCTTTCAGACTCTTTCCACCCTCCTCTGTATGGTCATATCCAGCGTGTTGAAAGGTCAAGCATAGAAATATCAATACACACAGTGTATTTCCACTTTCTATCAGTTGACTAGCAAGCCTTTTCCTCCCGACTAATGCACACTCCACCAGGGCACAGGCAGCAGCTTCCGAAACATGTCATTCCTCGAGATCTCTAAGGCAGATGCCTGGAGCAATCCACTAACTTTTGTCAAGCATTATGCACTTGACATGGCTGCCAGGGCAGATGCCAAGTTCAGAGGATAAGTACTTCAGTCTCTGTTTGACTGGTATAGACAAGACACTCCCTCACACTATCCAGGTACTGCTGCAAGTAGATACTGCTTGCTGGTCAACTTGAGTGGAGTTCCACACTATCACGTACTCAGAATGGTTACTTACCTTACAGTCACAGGCTTTTTGAGATGTAGTCAATGTGGATCCTATGACCTGTCCCCTATTTCCACTTTTAGCACTCCTCAGCAGTACACGCCTTGAATTGCAAGAGAACTGAAGGAGGGTTGTGGCCACTCTGCCCTTTAGGATCTTGTACAAGTGCACAAGGAGGCACAGAGGTGTGTGGCCCCAGCACAAATGGTTTGTGTGTCTCCGGTCTTATGAACAAAGGGTGCGTGTGAACCTATAGTGGGATCTACACTGTGTACAGCATTGTGAGGAGCCATGATTAGAAAAAATACTGTTACTGTATTATAAAAAAGTATAGTTATTGGTACGATCCCTTAGAGTGCACTAATTATAAACCAATATAAAGATGTTTGTACACGTGTAGCTTCTTCCATAGGGAACTGTGTGTAGACAAGCCTTATCTTTTTTTCCTCTTATAGCAATGGTGATAGCTATTTTTTTTTTAAGTTAAGATACAATAGGGACGATTCCTAGTCTTTCCTGTCCCATAGAACCTAGATGCTGCAGAAGAAGTCAGATGGCTCCAGCACAGTGAAGTACATTAATACTGTCCCTTTGACAAACTATTTCCTTACATTGAAGAGAGATGTTTAAGCTTTAACTTGTGTTGAAAAAGAATATGTAGTTGAAATCTAAATGAGTTATTTGACTAAAAGATTACATGACAAACCTATTAACCCACTTCCTTCTACTTCCTTAATTAATTATCAGTCAGACTACCTGTGTGTTGTGCAGTTGTCCCTTTTCTCTATGAAAAGGTACTGTTACTTAATTTTATGTAAAGAACTGAAGTCTGTCCCATATATTTAACATAAATGTTAGTGATTAAATGGTGATGATTTCATTTTCACCTTCCTCTCACCCAGATTGATTCTCCAATGGAAGCTCAAAATAGCGATTCTCTCTCTATGTCCAGTGATTTACTTGATATTTTACTTCAAGAGGATACATATTCAGGCACTGGCTCAGCTTCATCGGGAAGTGGTGTATCAGCAGCTGCTGAGTCGTTGGGATCTGGATCCAACAGCTGTGGCATGTCAGGGAGCAGAACAGGTAACATTTACTGGTTAAATGTAATCATGCCTTGTGAAACATTAAGAGGGGGATTGTGAGCTATTAGAGATATCACTTTGACCTCAAGAGCTTTACAGTAAAATCATACTCTTTTTTTTTAATCTAATTTATAATCATAATCTTACGACATTTAAAAATTTCATGTAGCTTTATTTGTCTCGGGCTGCTGTAATAGCTTGTTGAAAATGGAGAAACGTTGACTTCTGTTTAAATGTTTTCCTTTGGGCTGCATTTGGAACAACTAACATATGCTATCTTAGTTGTAGAGATGCTGTGAGGCCAGGTAGGAAGATATTTGAGGTAATCGTGACAGATCAATAGATGAGGTTTTTTTCTTCATTTTCTTAAAAGAACTAATTTAAACTGTTTCTTTAGCTGCAGATCTTAGAATAATAATAATAAAAAGCTTCTGGGTAACATTGTCCTGTGTTCAAATACTCCCTCTAAAGTGTTCAGTCCTATTTTGAATTGGATTTTGACTACAGATAGTGTGATAGGGTTTCTTTCTTAGCTGCAGTCTTTTCTGGGTAATAGCCCATAGGAAGATGAATATGTATTCCATTGATCTTCCCCTCCCTCCCGCCCATTCCAAACTTTCTATTCCATGTTTGGCAGCAACAGCTATTGTGGGAAACTTCCCTCTGTAGGAGGTAGGACCTGGTGGGCATACTTTTTGGCCCGAGGGCCACATCGGGGTTGCAAAACTGTGTGGCGGGCTGGGTAGGGAAAGCTGTGCCTCCTCAAACAGCCTGGCTCCCACCCCCATCCGCCTCCTGACTGCCTCCCTCAGAACCCCCGACCCATCCAACCCCCCCTTCTCCTTGTCCCCTGACTGCCCTGACCCCTATCCACACCCCCTCCCTCCAAATCCCACGCCTATACAAGCGCCCCTGCTCCCCATCCCCTGACCGTCTCCCTTCCCCCCCATCCGACCACCCCTTGCTCCCTGTCCCCTGACTGCCCCCCGGAGCCCTCTGCTCCTTATCCAACCACCACCCCCCCCTTTACCATGTCGCTCAGAGCGGCAGGAGCTTGCGGCTGCGCGACCCAGCCCAGCCGCAGCCAGCCACCACGCCCAGAGTGCTGGCGGTGCGTGGCACTGAGGCTGTCGGGGGAGAGGGGACAGCAGGGGAGAAGCCAGGGACTAGCCTTCCCAGCCAGGGGCTCAGGGGCTGGGCAGGCCGTAGTTTGCCCACCTCTGATGTAGGAGGTTAACACAGACGATCTACTCAGAGACTTTTAAGGGGGGTTCTCTATTGTACATCTCCATCAGGCATTTTGATTGGCTAAAAGGGTATGCCTGTTATGGAAGAAAGCATAGTTCAAACAATGTACTAAAATGGAACATTTGACATTTATTATAAAAGCTACTTTTTTTATTTTTAAAGGCAGTAGTGAGACAAGTCATACCAGCAAATATTTTGGAAGCATCGACTCCTCAGAAAATAATCATAATACAAAAAAGAACACTGAAATGGAAAACAGTAAACATTTCATTAAATATGACCTTCAGGATCCTATCTGGTTACTGATGGCAAATACAGATGACTCTGTTATGATGACTTACCAGATACCATCCCGGTAACTCTAAGTACTTTTATTCCTGTATGAGCTAAGAGGTGCGATTTCACTAAAGATTATCTGACCCTGAATGGACTAAGCAGTTATGTCATTCTGCTTTTCAAGCTTGCTCCCTTTTTAGTGTGCTTTCTATTTACTAGCCTAAAAGATTAGAAAGATGGATGTATTTGATAGCTATAGAAACAAGGATAAGTCCAATTCAGTAGGATTAATATGGTCCTAAACTATGGTATTGGCTGAGGATGTTGTACAGTTACTGACTGACAATTGTATACTTACAAATCCTTTTAGTCTGACTAGTGAGACCTCTATCAGTTGGAGTGCATGGATTAGTGAGGTGATTGTATTATGCAAATCACTGTACTCTTGCTATTTCACTTAAAACCTACACATTCAAATGCTTGCCTCCTGTCTAAATCCTTTCCCCACCCTATAAACACACACATTCCCTGCTCCTCACAAAGCCCCACTCTCTGCACCTTAGGAAGGATAAGGACCCACAAGCAGTGAGTAAACCCTTAATTTAAAACATTTGATTTGGATTCTCCTCCTCTATCTGTCTTTCAGTAACTTATCAAAACTGCATGTAGGTGTGTGTGAAAAGAGAAGCTTCTGTGAGGTTGGACTTTGACCTCCAGATTTATAAAGCCTGGGGCGGTGGTTAACTTTAGTGCTCTCTATTAATCTGATATAAATATAGACTTAGTGTATGTCTACACTACAAATGCTACTGTGGTACAGCTGCACCAGTAGTATAGACCTTACTACAGCAACAGAAGGTGTTTTTCTGTCACTGTAGTAAATCCACTCCCTTAAGAGGCGGTAGCTAGGCTGACGGAACAAGTCTTTGGTCAGCCTGACTGTGTCTATAGTGGGGGTTAGGTCAACCTAACTCATCACACAGAGGATGACATTTTTCACAGCCCTAAGCGTTATAACTAGTTTGAGCTAAGTTTTAGTTGTAGCTCAAGCCTTAGAATTTCTAAGAGTAGCAACAGTTGCAAAAGTATATTGTTTCAAATATTGTTCCAGTGTCTAATAACCAGAGATTTAAACCCACCAGCATAGAGGCTGATATGAAAGACAGTGGAAGTGCAACACCTAAGTGAGAAGCCAACCTATTCCTATTCCTGCTGGCAGGAAAGGAGAAGGTACTTGGATTCCTACAAGGGTGCTGTCCTTTGACTCTGCTTTGGGGTTTCATCTTCCATATCAGCAAGTGACAAGTAAATGGTCAAATTTAATTAAACACTCCTGAACCAAATTCCCTACCCCCTCTGACTCCTGGAAAGGAGGAATGTTTTCTGTCTCTCTGTCACTTGTAATTCCAGAGTTGCCTGACTGTGCTACCTGTTGTAGAGAACAGGTCTCCTTTTTTCTGTTCTAATCCCCATCAGAAAGCCAGACTCTTTTGAGTTTTCCTCTCTAGTTAATACCTCTAGTGCCTGTATGCTCAGAGCTTTCTTAACCAGCAGCAGAGTGCAACCGACAACATTTTTGTCAGTTTCACAGATGCTGCCAGCAGGTTTCTGAAGAGTCACTCTGAAAACAGTCTGTTTTCACTGCTGCACTTCAGGAAAGCAATGAGCTAGCAACAGAGGCACAGGAGTGGTCTGTCTGCAAACTTGGGAAAATGCTGACACAACCATAACATCTTTCAGACTTACAATTGGTCGTAAATTTAATGTAGATTCATTGGGGGCAAGGGGGGAAGCTTTCAAATGTTAGCTTTCCACAAGATATTTGTATGTGCAAGCCAGATAAAAATTAGACTTTAGGTCCTTAAAACTGTGAAGTTCAATTTCTAAATACATTTATTTTAGAAATGTGGAAATGGTTTTAAAAGAGGACAAACAAAAACTAAAGCAAATGCAGAAATTCCAGCCAAAGTTTACAGAAGAACAAAAAAGAGAGCTTATTGAAGTTCATCCATGGATCCAGAAGGATAGACTTCCAAAAGCAGTTGCTAATTCAGTAAGTTTAAATGGATTAATACTACTCTTTATTATGTAAGTCTTTATTTGCTGTTGAGACTCATTTTTATAGTTGTTACACAGAAAACTTGATCAACTACATTGAGAGACAGGTTTAATTCCAAATTTTAGTGCAAAAATCTGGAGTTTGTTTAACTTACAATAATTACAGATTGTTGCACTAAACGTGGTAGGGCTCAGCGCTGTTCTTCTAGCCTGCAACACACTTCTTCTCATGCTACAGGGAATGACAGTCCAGAACATGTTTGCAGGGTTGTTGTAGCTTTGTTGGTCCCAGGATATTAGAGACATGGTGGGTGAAGTAATATCTCTTATTGGACCAACTTCTGTTGGTGAAAGAGAAGCTTTTGCGGCTCAAAAGCTTGTCTCTTCCACTGACAGAAGTTGGTTCAATAAAAGATAATCCAGGTCATGACAGACAACACAACAGCAATGTTTTATGTCAGACAGCAATCCATCCCCTTTTTTGCCAAGAAGTTGTTTGTCTCTGGAACTGATGCATTTACCACCACGTTATCCTAGCCAGCCTACGCTTGGCAAGCTTGCAGAAGTTTTTAGTGGTTCCCCTCTGGGGTTATCTGGACTGGTAATCTGCTAGGTCACCCCAATCCTTGACTCGGGGAGCCAGCCTTACCCTCCTCTGCTGTGAGAACCCCCACTCCTGGGCTGTTCATGCACAGCCTCTAGCATGTAAGCTGCTCCTTGGATTGTGCTACTGAATGAGACTAGCTAATATCTCCAGTCCCAGACACAACCCTAGGAACCTCCGTGTTGCAGTGTCCAGTTATGCCCACTGGCCACTGCAAGCTAATATGAGTTCATCAGTTTAACAAAGAAATTTATATGCACCAGGCTTGTTATCCTAAGGGGAGTCTCTGACACGCTTCAAACCAAACACACTGCTTCAGGTAGCATAAACAAACAGATTTATTAACTACAAAGATAGATTTTAAGTGATTTATAAGTCAAAGCACAATAAGTCAGATTTGGTCAAATGAAATAAAAGCAAAATGCATTCGAAACTGATCTTAGTGCCCTAACAAATTTAGATGCTGGTTGCCCTTCAGCCAGGCTCTCCCTTTGATCAGCACTTCAGTCTCTGGTGGTGGTGGTGTCTGTAGATATAGGTGGAAGAGAGAGGAAGAGCATGGCAAACGTCTCTCCCTTTTATCATGTTCTTTCTTCCCTCTTGGCTTTGCCCACCCCTTCAGAGTCAGGTGAGCATTACCTCATCGCAGTCCCAAACTGACCAAAGGAAGGGGAGGTGACTCACTCGAGAGTCCAACAAATCCTTTGTTGCTGCCTAGGCCAGTGTCCTTTGTTCCTGAGGCTGGGCTGGGTTTGTCCCATATATGCCCTGATGAGGTGTGAACTGCCCCTCTGCTCTTGGAGAGTTTTTGCCTGGGCCTGTTTTAAGCCACAAGGACAAATTTTCAGCCTCAGAACTATATACATGAAATAACAACCTATAACATTACTGTAACAACAATTACTATAATTTCACTATAACAACAATGCTCAGTGCATCATGAACCTTCTGAAGACACCTGACATGACAAACTTTGCATTTGATACCACACAATCATATTATAAGGATGAACATGTGGGTGCAGAAGGTTCCCTCGAGGCACAGTGTGTCACAGACCACCTCAGCAGATGGTTCGCAAGTGACCACAAATGGACCATCAAAGATTCCATCATATAGAACAGGTTCTCAAACTGGGAGTCGTGACCCCTCAGGGGGTCGCAAGGTTATTAGGTGACAAGCTGTCAGCCTCCAGCATTTATAATCGTTTTTAATTTATAAGGGGGTTCGTACTCACAGGCTTGCTATGTGAAAGGGGTCACCAATACATAAGCTTGAGAACCACTGATATAGAACATTCACATATACAAAATGATTCTTCCTTTGACCTATCTGTATCTACATCAAAGGTTAGGTCAGCTTAACTAATTTTTAACATCCCTACATGCAATGGCGGATTATCCCAAGGGGCCCTTGCCTAGGTGTCCTGGCCAATTGGGGGGGGCTCAGGAAAAATGGGCACTTCGTCCCCAGCAGACAAGGGGCAGGGTTGGGGCCAGAGCCTCTCCGGCTGCCTGGAAGAGAGCCTGGCTGGGAAGAAGCGGCAGCCCGCTCCACGGAGAGCAACTCCATCCCGCTCCCTGCCCGGGCTTGGCTGCCAGGAAGGGCGGGAGGCAGCCAAATGTGCCGGGGAGGGTGGGGGGGACAGGGGAGCCGGACAGCAGGAGAACAGAGAGAGCAGGTAACGTGGCGGGGGGAGAGCATGGGCCCTCGGCTGGGGGCAGGGAGGAGACATGTAGGGAGGTCACGTGTCCTTCCCTTTAGTTGGTGCCCCCTCCCCCAGTATAGGGAGGCACCAGTCGGCCCAGATAGCTCTGGGCAAGTGGGGTGCGAGAAGCCCCAGTGCCCTGAATCCCACCTCCCACAGAAGCACGGGGCAGCAAGGGAAGCCCCAGTGCCCAGTCCCATGCTGCGGTCCAGGGACTGGAGGAGCTCTGGCTCCCTGCCGTGGCCTCAGGGCTGGGGGAGCACTCACTCCCCACTGCAGCCCTAGGGCCCATGTGGGAGAAGGAGGGGGCAGAGCTTCTCTGGGCTTGGGCCTGCAGTGGTGGTGGTCGGGGGGGGGCAGAAAAGAGCAAACGGGCTGCAATGGGTGGTGGAATGGGGTGGGATGGTGGGTGGAACGGGTGGGGGAAAGGAGCAGAACGGGGGCGGGGCTACAGGCAGAAGGTGTTGGGAAAGGGCCGCCCACTTGCTCTGGTCCAGGGCCCCACGAAACCTTAATCCACCTCTGCCTAAGTGCCACAGCTATGTCGACCTAACTTTTAAGAATTGGTTCACTTAATGCTTTATGAGGATATGTCACTATCGTATTTCTTTTGAAGGAGTGTATTTACTGTGAGGTCAACACACGAAGCCGCTTTTATACACCATATGACGAAGAAATCCATGAAATGGAGCTTAATGAAATGATTGACGCCAGTGAAGAAAACATCTTGGCTACCCTGAGTCAAATCAGTGAAGAACAAACCTAATATTTGGCAGTATTTAAAAAAGCAGCTGCTTTAAAATACAGTGATGCATCAGCATGTCTTAAAGGTTTTAAAACTTGTTTCTAGTTAAATGAATCTGGTTTATAAAACAAATGGATTTTTTGTTCTAGAAAAAGGTCATTTGTGAATGAATCTCTTTGAATGGGGCAATTCAAAATAAAGAGATTCAGCTGCAATCAAAACATTAGTTTTAATGTATCTTCACTTAATGTGTTTACAGTTACTACAACTGTATTTCTGGTGTTTTTCATCTTTATAGCTTGAAGGAAGAACTTATGAATCTCATGGTCACTAGTAAGTTGTGGTTCTATTTCACTTCAATGTTGTATGAAACACTCACCAGCACGATCTCATACTCCCATTGTTTTTAATAGTGTGAAAGAAGATCAAACTTAAATCTGTGTAAATATTAACTCAAAGGGGAAACCCAATTTAATTTTTCAGTGTTTATAAAGTCCAATGTACTAGATGTTTTGTGCAGAAATTAAGCCGTGCAGATATATCAGCATATTGCGTATATTCCATTATTACATGCAAAAATATATTATTTTAATTGGACCAGAGTGATTGAGAAATAAAGCTTTAAGAGTGCAATCTAAGTGTACAAACAACTTTCAGGGACTTCTCAATCATTTTGTAATTTTTTTTCACCATTAGCATGCTTTTCTGGTTAATTTTTTTTTAACACACATCTTGTAACTTAGTGAAAGGGAGGGAAAAGGTGTATTTAGAGCATTTTGTAGATGTGTTTACACAACAACTTACCATTGTGTTTTTTAAAGTGTGTGCATTTACAGGGTAGTATTAAAATATTTTCCTGTAACTTTAAAATTACAAATCTCCACTTTTAGATAGGTTGGGAAAAATTATAACTTATGTTGTAATATGATTTGTGACATAACCTTTTGTCAACAATGTTTTCTGTACACAGTGCAATATATTTTGGTTTTGTCACTTGTGACTAATTTTTATGACTTTTTGCTTTTTAGAAAACTGGTAAATAAAACAGATATATTTTTAGCTGCCTTTTTATTTATTGACCTTTTACAGCTGGGGGTAACTATATGCCAGTTATACCTAACATATGTAAACTACTTTTTCAAACATGAAGATTATACAAGCTACTAATAGCTTACTGTACCAAAGCAGATAAAATGAAATCTTTGCTAATTTCTCAAAATAGTAAACTTAGTGTTCAAAATGGAAAAAGCAGCGTTTGCTTGCTGAAAATGTGGGTTTAGTGGTTCTGGGATTCTGGACAAAGTGACTGGCAGGGGAAGCACCTCATTTGACTTCAGTATGTTTGAATGTGAGTTAATGGGCATTAGCTGTTCAAAAACACCAGAAGGTGATGTTCTCTGGCTTGTTTTTTGTTAAATGTCAACTAGACTACTATCATTACTTCTTCTCTCGCCATCCTCTAAATCA